TCATAATTTTTCCTCAGTTTTGAGATATTGACGCGGACGATGCGTGTTCCAAGATCCACACCTACCATGGATCCTCCGAGTTCGGAGATCACCTTTCCTTTTAGCCAAGATCCATGTTTGGACCCAGTTGATCCAATCTTAGACTTATCCTCTGACCAGTAGAAAACCTTATCTCCCAAAGAGAAAGGTCCTTCGGTCATTGACAGTCTGGCCGCAAGATCTCTGCGCAGATCATCAGATTGGCGTGCCTCTTGGTAAGCCCTGTTGGCAAGCTCCTTAATGGCTCTCGCAGTGACTTCCGTATCAGTTGGATTACCTGTCAACTGATTGGGATCAGCGTTCTCTGGTGTTATAACATCTCGAGGACGCCTTCCAAAGGCCATTTCTAAAGGAGTAACTCCTCCGTAGGTAATCGAAGAGTTTCTTGCCAAACATGCTTGGCGAACGAGGTTGCCATACTTCATGGTGATTCCGTTATACTGCGGGTCACCATCCTTCAGGATCTGAAGTATGATCTTAATCTGATGCTTCAGCAATCTTACAGCAGCTTCGGCCCTGTTGGGCCATGGTGTTCCAGGTCCTGTTGCTACAGGCTTGATATTCTGCCGATTGTAATAAGCCTCCATTTTGGAGTCATGAATGCTTGATCTCCAACTACAACCTTTGGGTTGATCTGAAATTTCTCAAAGTAGTCATTCATAATCGACATTGTAGTATGCTCTTCTTTCTCCTGGACTACTTCGGAAGTCAACAGGTTTGTTGCTCCGTCATAGAGAATAAGAAATATTAAGCGACTATTCTTGCCGGGAATTGGAAGCTCACCGTGATCTACGAAGGTGAGATCACCGAAAGTCTCTGATCTTAAACCGGAAATCTTCGCTCTTGAAGGAGCTCTCACGTGTTCCTGACAGGCTGAACACTTTTTGACCAGTTGGTCATATAGCTCATATATCTCCTTTGGGATCTGTAAGGCTTTCGTGCGTCGCTTGAACTGATCCGTACTCATATGACGGTGCTTAAGGTGAAGCTTATAGAGTTCTACAGGGTCCTTAAGCTTCTCATGAATCCTGCGAAGAGCAATGGGAAGAGATGGCGATGGTTCTGCGACAATCTCTTCACCTGTAGGTGAGTCTGTACCAGGAGCCGGTTATTCTCTTGACTCAAGTGGTCTTACCTCCGTCCCGTCATCAGCTCCTGGGACCATAGACTTCTCCTCAACAGGAGGTTTGACCGCATATTTGCGGGTTTTCTTCAGAAGGTTTTTAAGACCCTTTGGAGTCTTTGTCTTCGCAGGTGGAACCTCAAGTCTTTCTTCTTCTGGAGGTTCGTGCGGTGCAGATGATTCTGCAGGTTTGTCTCTAGAGCCTGATGATGGTTCCGATGGTTCGGAAGGCTCAGGAGCATCACCAGATGGTTCTGGTGGATCAGGTTTCTTGGCAGATGATTCTGCCGGATCAGATGGAAGAGGCTTCTTCTTACCTGGAATGCCCTTCGGTGGTGGATCAGCTGCTCCTTCAGGTGCTTTGTCGCAACCTTTGAGGAACGTATGAGGCTTTTTCTGTCCTGCGCAGGCTGGACAGCGACCTTCCGGGATCTTTTTATAAGATCTTCTTTCTTCCTTTGGCTTCTTAGCTCCTAGAGCAGTCTCCGTCGCACTGAACGACGTACCTGACTTAGGGAGATACTTCCTTGTGGAAGTGAAGCCTAGAAGGTCCAATACCAAATGGTTATTGGTACTAATCGGAAGGGGGGTTTTGTACAAACCGAAAGCTTCACACGTTGCTAGGTCAGCTGTGGGACTACACTCGAGGGTCATTCTTAGATTCCTCATCTGTTCGATGGAGAACAAAATGGGAACTCTCCCCTGATCCAGAACTTCTATGGTTGTATCTCTTCTTGGAGTTGTGTTGAACCATAGAGTTACACGCTCCTTGATAAGAGCTGTTTCACTATCTGCGAAAGAGAACTTCGTGTTCGAAGGTGAGAAAGTGAAATCAATCATGCCTGGGGCACGTTGCTTCACGGCCTTGATAAGCCTGTTCACCGCATAGCGGGAACCCATAGCCCTAGTACAACCTGAGTCAAGTATGACAAAGGTAGGGTTCTTATCAAGATTGATCCGCTCTGTGAGAGCAGATAGGACGGTGTGCTGCAACGGAAACACCGCTGTTGCAGTTTCAACACCTTGCCCCTCGGATGGTTCAAAGACCTGGGGCACGTAACTCACTGATGAGTTGAACACGGGTTCTTGGTGCGCGCTCGGATCTGTGCCTCTACCTGATGATCCTGCTTGATTTCTTCTCTTCTTTCTCCGTGTTTTTCTTCGTGAGGCTTGTGATGCATAGTATGTATAAGACGTTTGATCGTCATAAGCGGCATAATTCCAACTGGAGTCAGTATAATAACTGTCCTCATACCATGAATCCCAGCTCGGTGCGGTGGAACTCTCATAGGCCTGTGGAGATCCAGTTTGGTCTCCTTGTAAGGAGGCAGACTTAGCTGTATCCTTACCTTTGCCTTTTGCCTTTGCGCCTTTGAAGGAGCTTCCTTTATCTCCTTTGTCCTTTCCTTTTCCTTTGCCTTTTCCACCTTTTCCTTTTTCCTTTCCTTTACCTTTACCGAAATAGCTGGAATCAGTTGGATCATGTTCTGCCTGGTTGGCTCTCCCTTTTCCGCGGTATGACCTAAAACGGCCACGTCCTTTTCGCTTGCCACCCTTTGCTCTTCCCGGTGATCCGGGACGCATTCTTGGTCTTCTTCCCTTTTTGAATCTCCTTGCAACGAAGGCCTCATGGTCATCAACTGTCCAGAAGACAGCTTCTTCATCCTCGGCGGCAAGAAAGCCTTCCTCAAGGGTGTCTTCGTCTTGGAGCCAGAATCCATCGACTCCGTCGTATTCACCCTGATCGAGGATGAGGAAGTTTCGACCTCCGCGTTTGCGGCGTTGGTCTCTCCTTCCATGGCGGTCCTTCTTGTGAGAAGAGTGCCGAATGTTGGGATCCTGCAGACCAGTTCTGGTCGTTGAGAACTGATCGAACATGGTCTGCCGTACCACAGGGTACGTGTAGGTCTCAATTCGGTGACCTTGGTTGGTCAATGCTGTTACCAACCTCTCACGTTGCATCTCATTTAGGTCGGACTGCACTAGGAAGAGGAGAGCTAGGAGATTATCGTTCAGAGGAAACGCTCTTCGATGATTGTCAAGGCGTTCCTTGTTCCATGTTTCGAAATAGCGTGCGGCATATGTGTCTCTCTCGGCTGCACTGCATGCGCAAGAAGGTTTGGTCTGCCTGCACAGCTTGCATGAAATCTGGATGGGCATCCTCCAGAGCTATCTCTGGTAAGAGATCCATCCATGAGTTTTTCACGCGCTGTAGCACGATCTCAAACTTGGCAATCCAAGTCACAAAGTCTTGGTTGCCCTTCCATGCCTTGAATAGGCCGAGGAAACGCCACAGGAAAACGTACTGTTCTCCTTTCACGAAAAATGGACGCATCTTCTTCTTGAAGTAATCTACTCCATCTGGGGCTGCAAGCCTTTCTCGGTTCAGTGATTCCTTTTGTACTGCGGCCAATCCGGAGAGCCTCGTCTTGAGAGACGGACCTCTTTTGGTGTCATCCAGCGTTGTTATGTCGCACCAGTCGTCAATCAACTGTTCATACTCAAACCACGAGGTGGTGCCATCATAGGCAGGCGCGATCTTGGGCGTTATGCCTAATGATGCAAGCATGCGGTCAGATGTTGCATATGACTGTGCGACATAAGTGGCTGGACCTTGGGAGGTCTCTTCGTTCTCATATCCCCCGGAGGATTGGGAACTGTCGTCGGCTTCGCTATGCGAGCTCGACATTGTGCTGCCTCTTATCCGCTTGGTTAAGCGTTCGGCGAGGCCGACCGCTGTAGCGGACTTTGGGAGGCGGGCGGCCCTTTCCGGGCTCCGCTACCAGAAAACTGAGCCGATACACCCACAAGGAAATGCTCCTTGTTAGGAGGTGTATGACCAGTTATTCCCTAAGGATCAAAGGGCAGCGCCCTGCACACGGACAGTAGTTGTTTTGTCTTGCTACGCAAGGAGAGCTTGTCTTGTCTCAATATGGTAAAACACTGTGAGCCAATGGGCAGCGGAATGTATATGTATGAGCATGCAGCCATTGCTGTAGGTACCTGTTAGAGCTACCCCTTTAGAGGTTTACGCAAACAGGGGGGGGGGACGAAGGAGGGCTTGAAGGGGGGCTTGAAGGGAGGGGGGGCTTGAATGAAAAATTCCAGTAGCGTTTCGAGAGTCACCAGGAGTGTGCAATAATCAAGGCAACAACAATCAACAAGAAATCTCAATCAGCTTCAGAATGCAATCACTCGGTCTCAGACTTTTGTCTGGATTCAATGAGCCAGTCTTGAGCCAATGCCAATTGGTAGGCATCGTGCTGTCCGTAGCCAATACGAGCGTGAGAATGACCATGCAATCTAACACGGTCCCTTGATTGTGACGAGTCACGTCAACAATCACAACTGTACATTCTCCGCTCAATTATCGGTTATATAACCATGCTATAATTGCAATGAAACAAGAATCAAGATCATCGTTGGGCAATTCAAGGCAAACGATCAATCGATCTACCGGTCAAAACTCAATCACAGAACTAGACCAAAATCTCAGTGGCAATCTCACTCCTTTTGCGCTCACAGCTGAACAATCTCATGCAGTCGCCCAATCTGCAGCCATGAGCAATCATCATCCAGGAAACAATGTCTCCGTCGGTACATTGCAATCATAGAAGCAAATGGAATCAGCAATCAATCGACAGTGTCTGCAGAAATTGTCTTGTGCTCAATCCGAGCAACGGGGTATCAATATCCAATGCAGTCAGGCAGAAAGAGTCAAAAGCAAAATCAATGTTGAGAGGCAGCAGTGCATGTGCTGCACGGTCCTTCAATGCCGTAGGCACAATCCATCATCCGGATTTGTAGATGGATCAATCGCCAATCTTCTTGGCAATCTTCAACGACCTTTGCGCTTCTTCGCAATCGCGGCGGCAGTAGACAACATGATGTTGTACTCCTCTCTGGTCAATGAGTCAGGCACAGGGCCTGTGCTCGGATCAATGCCTGCACTTGCGCTGCTGGCAATGTCGTCCGCAGCAATCTCTGAATCATTTTCCGAAAGTAGATACAATTCCGGTGATCCTTCAATCTCCAGATGGGTCAATGGCAAGGTGCAATGCCTGTGCACCGTCTCCGTGGGAACCCAATTCGCATAACAACTGTTATGCATCATCGATGCCAATGACTCAACCGTCAAAGTCGGCAATTCCAGCACAAGCGAATGTTGGCGTACCAATCCATCCAAAATGTACGAATAGGTGTTGGCAATCGCGTCATGTCGGCTGTCAATCGTGAGACACCAACTGCTCGACAAGAAAGAGCAATTGTGGTACAATGCAAAGCCTCCCGTGCCGTCGGGGACTTTCAATCGCACGTCAGTCATTCGTCTCAATGGTCGAAACACAATGACCTTAACCAATCATTGAATCTGCCCTGTCGAAACCAATGACACATTTTTCTCAGGGCAGCATCGACTGTCAATTGGGCATTTAACTGACCCAATGGCGTGGGCATCAGTGTTGTCAATCCAGCATTGAGAGATTCAATCAGACTTGCTGGGAGAGCAATGCAACAGAACCAATCCACCTAGCCTTCCACCGGGGCGTAATTCCGGCAATTGTACGATGTGACAGCAATGCAGCATGTAAAGATGCTCTTCAATGAGCAATAACACTCAACTGTCTTATCGACAATGAGGAACGCCAAGTTTGGCGAAAAGATGGGAATGTTGCCATCAGCAATGTCAGCCTGATTCATCGTTCCAATGCATCGGTTGCAAATCCACAATAAGTGGAGGAAGATGCAATTGGCGAAACCACTGTGTCCTGGGAATCCATCAGGAGTCAATGTTCGGGCATACTTGTTCCCAATGCCCCATCCGAGTGGCACTTCAATTCCGCCAATCTTTTGGTTGAATCGCACGTATTGGCGCGAATACGCTGCCAATGCGTCGTGCACCTGTTCAGCAATCTCCATGATGATCGGACAATCGAGGTGAATGAATCCTCCTTCTTCACCCAACGTCACGGTGACATAATTGTCAATGATCTGTGTCGTCTCAATGAGTGCCGTCCTCCATTGGTGCAGCTCCAATGACGAGGCAATGCACGTCAGGTGGGCGTAGAAGATGGCAATGGCTTCTCGCATGCGAGACAATACCATCTCAGAATTCCACCTCAATCTGTGATGCGGTGGGTGTGCATGCTCGGCAATCGAGCTCACAATGAAATGGAATTGCTCCAATGGCGAATCCGTCGGCAATGTCACAACCGGCGGGCCCATGACATACTCAGGCCCCAATGCCTGGGTGCCCAATGCCGGGGCTCCATTGGTGGCCATGGCAATCAGAGTGAATGAATCGATCTGATGCAATCACGAGTGCAATTCGCTTTCTCTCAATCTACGAGCAATCGCAAGCGGAAGCGAAAATAAGCTAACAATCACAAAGGGCACACACTCCGGGTTACAGTCTCAAAACGCATTCAACGCTGTTAAAATCATGCTATGTACAATGTTGCTGACAGTCAGCAACATTGTACATAGCATGATTTTAACAGCCACAACAATGGTCGACCGAGTCAATGCGTGTAGAACTCGAAACAATGTATGTTCGGCTCTTCACTACAATGCTTTGTACAATTCAAAATCAACTACAAAATCTCCTCCAACAATGAATTCTTGTTTCTTGCAATTCAAACACAATGGTTGGTCCGAGACCTTCCAAGAAAATCTTCCTGGTCAATCGTCCTCAACAGGAATGATAAAGTCTTGCCAATGCACATGCTGAGCTCATGAAGAATTCTCTCAATTCTCACCTCTTCTTTTATTTCAATAGTGCAATACGCACTCTGAAGGAAATGCATTCAACCTCAGTGAAACAAGCAATGGACTCTCTTCAGGTGAATGGAGTCTATCCAACACAATACAAAGACGGTCCCTTGAACAATGACAGTCCTTGCATCACTGAAGGGCATGAGTCAATTCCTTGGTGATACAGATGAAACAATGTTTGTTTGGTTTTGGGGTTTTCTCAATGAAGTGGTGGTCAGAAACAGTCGAGATCAACTCACGTGAGGCAATGAGGATCTCAAGACGAAAACGACCAAAGCAATGGAAGCAGTCAGAATGATGAACGAAAGGGCACTGATTCCTTTCAACAACACATGATAGGAGAATGAACTGCCAATCCTCAATGCACACACACAGAGCAACGGATGCTCCAACAGTCCGCAATCTGAGGACAGACGAGAAGTGATCAAGCAGACAATGAGTCGAACTAACAGACTCATGATAACCAATCGACATGTTTCAATGTCAGTCCTGCGAAGTTCGGAACGCGTCATTACAATCTGCCTGCGGTATGTCAATGTGTTCTTAAATGGAACAATGCTCAGGAGCACGCAGGAATGTCTCATCGAAAGTTCCTTGGTCAATCCGAAAGGTTCCTTAGTCAATCGAGAATAGCAGAGGCAATGCCAAGTCTTGCCAAAGTGCTCAAATAGAGCTAGAGCACCGAAGACGTGACAATGGATCAACTGGTCTCTTCCAATCATCCAGTTCGTGCTATCAATGTCATGCTCATAGATACAATAGGAAAGAACCAAAATAAAGGAATGATGACAATCAAAACACTCAAAAGAGATGGTGGTGAGAATGAACAAGCACAATGACCTAAGATCAACAATAGTAGGCTGTGGGTGACAATGGATGGATCGCTCCACCAATGACCTCATGACGGTCGAGAGGTGAAAGCAAGTGAGTGGCAATGATAAACAGAGTCCGACACAACTGCAATCAGAGATAGGGCCAATGCAATACCACAGTGAAATCGCATACAGCGATCTCAATGAGGTGAGTGACCTTAGTCTCAATGGATCTCCAGACTTGTCACCACAATCTCTCAGTTCCTCAGCGAATACACAGAGCAACAGTAGATCCGCTTGAATCTCATCGACGCAATCTGCGTGGTGAGTGAGAATCGAACTCACGACCTTAGAGTCAATGATAGATTCCTTCCTGAGAATCTTCAAGGTGAGATCAATGTGGCACATGACTGCAAATCTGCAAGTCTCTCGACAATCACACTCTCTCTGAGGCTCTCTCACATCCAATGTGTCAAACCGTCGAAGTGAGTGACAGCGAGTGTCAACGCAATGAGCAAGGTCACAATCAAGCCAAATTTCGCAATCTTCTCGAAATGATAAATGTGCGTGAGAAACATGCAATCCTAATGCACAACAATGTTCTTCATCAATCAAGAAGCAGGATCGCAAAGAAGGGTGAATGACCGCACAATCACAAGACGTCTGCTTCAGCTCAATGAAAGGCTCAATGCACAAGTAGATGGAAACGAGGCAACAATACTTGGAATGCCAAACGTAACAATAACGATCAGCAGAGAGAATCGCAATCCAAGAAATGGGTCCATGACGTCTCTTGACGCAATGTCTTCGATCTTCAATGCATTGCTCATTCTGAATTATGTCAATGCTCCCGAATGTCAACAAGGCAATCTGCAATGAAAACACGTGTGAGCAGTCGACATCGAAAAGCCGCAATCGATCAATGACATGAGCAAAATGCTCCATGAAACGCGAAAGAAAATCATGAACGCGAATGTCAAGACAATCTTTACAATCTCGGTCCCTCGGCTTGAGATGGCGACGCGTGCAATCAATCTGTGGTAGCGCTCCTGGAGTTTGAGTGCCGTCTTTCAGTAGTTTTTGAACAATGTCCATGGAAACGTGAAAGACAATACAATTCATCAGAAGGCGTGACGACAGATCGCAATAACCATGATCAATGCTGTGCCGTCTTCGTGGCGTGCACAGTGGAAGTCCCGTTGGCGACACCACATTGCACCATGTGAAAACGGGGTATGTTGCAATGAATCGTGGAAAACAAGTTGCGATGTCCATGCTCAATGTGTGCTCGTCCGCAATATGTCGCACTGCATAACTCGACATCAGCATCGGCCGTCGCGACAACGCGATGTACAGCAGACAATCTATTGGGACAAGATCTATTACATTAGGTCGTGACATACAATTGCGATACGCATGCTCAATGGCAGCTCTTGGTACCAATTTTTGCCAGCCGCTGTCAAGCTCAGGCTTGTACGGCAGCCTTGGCAATGGTAACATGAGGTACAATGACTTGCGATGAATTGAGATGATGCAATCCACGTAATGCAAAGTCAATGCAATATAGAGCTGACAAGAACCGAAGAATGAACAATGATGATGGAAACAGCAACGGAGGAATCCATCATGCAAAACGGAATGAAGTGACAATCGAGTAGGTGTTGATGGTGAATAGCTGAGCAATGGTTGGAGACTGGGCAATGGTGCAAGTGACCATGCTGAATGTGTAATGGTACTGTGACAATAGTTCAGCTGCAATCTGCACGCTAAAAGAAAGTGTTCAATCAAGCTCCAAAGATCAATAGCAGAATCGCTTTCAATCCTGAAGAGCTCAATCTCATCATTGGGTCTGTCCACAGCAATACCTTGATCCAAGATTTCCTTAGCCTCAATGCAGAATGATGAAGGTGCAGTTTGACACAGAACAATCTGAACATTTCCAAGAGGATCAATACACCTGCTCCAATGCTCTTGGCAGATAGCAGAACGATGCTCATTCAACGAATCCTGTAAGAAATCAGAGTCCTGCTGAATCGAAGTCGCTGAATCCTGAGGCAACGAATCGTGAACAACAATACTCGAAGAACAACACAAAAACGCCTTTCCGAATCCGAAGTGCAAACAATCGAAAACGCAAAAATCGTCCAATCTGAAATCATACTCAAGGGGTCCAACATCCGAAGTGAATCCTAATGACCAATCCTTGTGAAACTCGAGGACTGGTTTCAATCAATGCAGAAATGCTCTACAATTACTCGGAGCACTCATGAATCCGCAGAACACAACAATAGTCGTGATGAGCGAAAACATCAAAATGCCAAAACTAATTCTCAATCGCTCGGGTAACGAGCAATGCTCTAGTACATCCAGACTCTCTAAATTCGTGACAATGTGCGCGCAACAATCAATCAATCGCTTAACGATCGGCACAGATGAAACTTGATCACCAATCTCGGAACTAGACGCAATGCAGGGTTCTTCCAAAGCAATGTCTAAGTGAATGCAGTCTCGATGACTACAACAGCCAGAATCCTTCATGCAGTCAGACTCAACATAATCGACATGTGACTCTGTTGAATCCGACACGCAATTAGAGCTGAGCCATGTCCGAACGCAATGCTTAACGCCCATGTCGTCAATCGGATCACACATGCAATCGGAATGCTTCTCCACGCTAGCGCAATCCAAACGCTTGGTTTGCGACAGCGCAACACAGTGTGCCATGTCAACGTTCAACGCTGCATCTGCGAACCAGCAACTCTTTTCTTTCTCCAATCTCTCTTCTTCTTCTTCTTTTTCTCTTTCAACCTGTTTCACGCTGCAATACCAGGTATCCTCGCTCGACGAATTGCTCGAGCAGTCGATAGAATCCTCTTTTCCTTCCTCTTCAGTGCTGATGCAATCCTCTTCATCTCCCAATCGGTGGCTCTCTTTCTCCTCGTTCCTCTTCCTTCCTTCTTCCTTCAATGGTTCGTTTTCCTTTTCTTTCTCATCTTCCTGTGATTCCTCAATCTCACTGGCGTCCTTTTCCTCATCCGTCTCCTGTACTCCTTCCTTTTCAATTTTGCCAATCAACTCCGAATCTTCAACAAGGTGGGATATGTATTCCAATGTCCGCGTAGTAAGGCCTCGAAATCTTTCTTCTTCCTGCAATCTTCCAATGCTTCTCTTCCTCTCAGAATCTCTGATTTCGCTCTCTGTAACAATCATCCGCAGCACCTGATGCTGAGATGCTGGCTGAATCAATCTGCCAGATGTGGATCGACAGAATCTGCAATAGCTCTTGACTAAGTCAACGGCCTGATCGAATGTTCCCAATGCATCCTGATGCAATCGAAGAAAGCCTGACAAGGCTTCCTCAGTCTTGCTTATGAGCAATGCGACAAGAACATCTTCACTCAATGCTTCTCCGCCAATCTCTTCATATCTCTTCTTCAGAACAACGAAGGCAATGAAATCTTCTTCGAAGAAATCCTTCCTAAACTCAAAAAGGAGAATTCGGCTCAATGTTTCCATTCCACGGTCTCTGCAAGAAATCCAAAATCTTTCATGCAACAATCGCCATGCTTCCAATCCGTTCTCTTGCTTTCCAGTACGGACAATGCTTCCAGCAAATCCTTTCGTGATCTTCACAAGCAAATAATGCAATTCAGTGGAAAATTCGAGCAATCTTTCCTCTGGAAAATCTTGACTCGAGAATGAACTGATGAGCGAATCATCTACCTCAATATCCAGTGCCAACGCAGTGTCCAAGATGGTCACAGCCAATGGACAATGAATCTTTACGTAGAATCTCAACTGCCAGTTCCAATCTTCCCAACTTTCCTTGTCTCCTGCAAATGATGCTGGAGGTTCCAATTGCATTTTCCTTTCCGCACTACCGAGCTCAATGTTCATCTCTACGAATTCCTCTGAAGTCAATCGGTACCCTGGGCTTCGCCGCAGGGCTCCGCTACCATGAAAAATTCCAGTAGCGTTTCGAGAGTCACCAGGAGTGTGCAATAATCAAGGCAACAACAATCAACAAGAAATCTCAATCAGCTTCAGAATGCAATCACTCGGTCTCAGACTTTTGTCTGGATTCAATGAGCCAGTCTTGAGCCAATGCCAATTGGTAGGCATCGTGCTGTCCGTAGCCAATACGAGCGTGAGAATGACCATGCAATCTAACATTGAAGGGGGGCTTTGAAGGGGGTCTTAAGGTGGGCTTCAATGAAAAATTCCGAGGTCGTTTCGAGATATGCCAGGAGTGTGCAGTGAATCAGCAAACAACAATCAACAGAAAATCTCAATCTGCTCCAGAATGCAATCACTCGGTCTCAGACTTTTGTCTGGATGCAATGAGCCAATCTTGAGCCAAAGCCATGGTTCAGGCATTGATGTGTCCGTAGCCAATAGCAGCAGGAGATTGACCATGCAATCTAACACGGTCCCTTGGTTGTGACATGTATGTCAACAACCATAGCTGTACAATCTCCGCTCATTTATTGGCACCACAGTTATACCGTAATTCAAATCGAATAAAAATCAGAATCAGAAGAATGTAATTAGAATCGGTAAAGCAGTGAATCTAACAGTGAAATGGCAATCACAGAACTGTACTAAAATCTCAGGAACAATCTCAGTTCTTTCAAGCTCAGAGCTGAACGATCTCATGCAGTTGCCCAATGTGCAACCATGAGCAATCATCATCCAGGAAACAATGTCTCCGTCGGTACATCGCAATCATAGAAGCAAATGGGATCAGCATTCAATCGACAATGTCTGCAGGAATTGTCTTGTGCTCAATCCGGGCAACGGGGTATCAATATCCAATGCAGTCGGGCAGAAAGAGTCAGAATCAAAATCAAATTCAATGTCGTTGAGAGCAATGCATGTATATGGACAGAATGAAACCAATCCGTTGTTCTGCAATAATCTGCCAGGTGATCAATCTTCAAGCTTCAGCTGCCTTTTGCGTTTCTTTGAAATAGCGGCTGCTGCCGTGACCACAATGTCATACTCCTGAGTGGTCATCGAGGACAGCAATAACGGTGTGCTTGAAGCGGTGCCACCTAAGGCAATGTCTTCATCTGTAACTTCGTCACAATTTGCAGTCTGAATCAATGCTGACAATGACTCGACAGTCATCGTAGGAAGTGTGAGGACAATGCTATACTGTCGAACCAATCCATCCAATGCATAGGAATACTTGCCCGCAATGGGATCATGCTGACTGTCAATGGCCAACGACCATGAATTGCACATGAAAGAGCAATTATGGTAACGAAGGAATCCTCCTGTTCCTTCTGAGCACTTGAGGCGTGTATCAATCATGGCAAGCGATGGTCGAAACACAATCAGCTTGACCAATTCACGGTTTTGAATGGCCGTGAATTTGCCCTGTCGAAACCAATATCTGAGTCTTCGCAATGCAGCATCGGCATTAAAATGCGCGTTGAGTTGACCCAATGGGGTCGTGATCTCCGTTGGTCTATCACTCATGAGCGAGTCCGCAATGGATGCTGGAAGAGCAATGCAGACGAACCAATCTGCAAGTCCGTCTACAGGATTGTAGACTCGACAATTGAACACAGTAACAGTAATTGCACGAGTGAATAAGGCCTTCAATGCACAATAGCACTCAAATGTTTTGTCAACCAGAAGGAATGACAAGTTCAGTGAAAATGCAGGAATACCACCAGCAATCTCCGTAGGTGCCATAGTAGCAATGCAATGGTTGCAAACCGATACCAAATTCAACCAAATGCAATTGGCATATCCACAATGAACAGAGTAACCGTCGGGAATCAGTGTCTTTGCAAAGTTGTTGCCAATGGTCCAACCGAGTTGCAATTCAAGACTGGCAATGCGGCCTGTAGATCTTGTGTCCTGACGTGAATATGCGATCAATGCATCATGCAGAAGTTCAGCCATTTCCATCACAGCAGAGCAATTAAGATGGGCAATCCCATCTAGCAGAGTCTCAGTGACGTAATGGTCAATGACCTGAGTACACTCAATCAAAGATGCTTTCCACTGACGTAATTCGAGCAATGACAGAATGGATGCCAAGTGCGCATAGAATACGGCAATCGCCTCGCGCATCCTTGCAAGAATCACTTGCGCAGTCCAGGCTTCTGGATGATTCGGTGAGTGGCAATGTTCATTTACATTTGCCACAATCCGCCGAAACTGCTCCAACGAAGAAACCTGAGGGGATGCCAGTGGCGGTTGACCAATCGCATAGTCATATGCTCTGGCAATCGTCGCGGAATCAGCCATGGCGTCAATCTAAATCCGTGACATTAACCTATCGCACTTGTGACGAAAAAATGCTTTCTCTCAATCTAATATCGATCGCAAGCGGGAGCAAAAAAAATCAAGAGGCAGTCGCAAAGAAACACACTCCAGGCTAAAATCTCAAAACGTGTTCTCCTTCAGTTTACATCCGTGCTATGTACAATGCTGTTTGCACAGCAAGATTCGACTCATGTAGAGCTCGAAACAATGAATGTTCGGCTCAACATGTCAGAGAATTTGTACAATCTGAAAAAGTTCTAATTCGATTTTCTAACATTTAAACCAATCAATGGTTCAGTGCCAAGCACCATGTTCAAAAGACAATCTTCCTGACAAAAAGGTCTCCGGAATGATAAAGCTCAGCCAATGAAGAATAATAATAGAAAATCAGAGAGTGTTCTCTCAATTCTCACCTCTCACTCTGAGCAAACCAAGGCTCTTGCCAAAGTAAGGCCCTCGCCAGACAATGGGATACATGCAACAGACTAGAATCTCCTGAGGAAATGAGCGATGTCTTAAGAGAAGACAGCTTCAATGCTCAAGGCCAGGGATCAGAACTGAATAAATTCATCGTGAAACCAATAAAACAATGTTTGTTCGATTTGATGCTTCATCAGCAGTGCTCAATCCAACAAAGTCGAGATCAACTCACCAGAGACAATGAGGATCTTCCAGACAATGACGAACAACACGACAAACTGACGTGCAACGAAATGTGGGAGGAAAGTAATCCTGAATGGAACGCAATGACACGAAGGACAATGAGAATCGGTCCCTCAGTCACACCGAGTTCTGAATCGTAAGGAATGGTCAGATGAGGAATGAACTCTAACACACGGACAATGAGGCATGCCAGATGATTGACAGCAAGCAATCTCACTGCTTCCAGTCAAATCAGGTGCATATCATGACCTATGTTCACAATGCCTTCAAAACAGAACGTATCTTTGATGACAGCAATCCTTAGTAGCAGGCCATGAAGTGCCGTCGGGGTTCCTTAGTCAATCCAAGTGTTTCCTCAGTGACATGACGGCGTCTGTAGAGGCAGCAAGACGCATCACAATGTGCAAGTGACAATGACTTGCCGAATACGCAAGAGCAATCCCATGGGTCTTCTTCAATCTGGATAACTGTACTCTTGCGGTTTGAGGTGCAATCCGAGGTACAATAAGAAAGTGACAGAACATGGATGTGGACCCAATCAGACCAATCGATAAACAAGTCAATGTTGATCCAATAACAAGAAAAGCAAGAACCGAAATCAGAAAATAAAGGATGTGAATGGTGGAGCAACACAATAAGGTGCTCACACGACGAA